AGAAAACGCCCTGGAGAGCTACAAAGGTTTTTACTAAATACTTACGAGTCTTCTTTACAAAATGAATCAATGAATACTTATGAAGAATTTTCAGAAGCAGTGACAGATGTGGAGAAATTTATGATGAAGAATTTTAAACGAGTGGTCATCCGTGGTAAAAGGGGAAGAGGTGTTCCAGTCTTGTTTTCTAAGGATTTTCAGGAACATTTGAACATTTTAATAGATCTTCGTAAAACTATGACAAAAGAAAATTTATATTTATTTGGAAATCCTAATAGTAGCGAACCAATTTGTGGTTATAAAGTTATTTAAAAACATGCAGTCGCTAGTGGGGCCAAAAATCCAAATGCAATAACTTGTACAAGATTAAGAAAGCATTTGCCCACACTTACCCAACTCTTTAACTTGACAGAAAATGACGTGGAGCAGCTTGCCACTTTTATGGGCCATACATTGGGTGTGCATAGGTCATCTTATCGACTTCCCGATGATGTCTATCAAACGGCTAAAATATCAAAACTCCTACTTTTAATGGAAAAGGGGGAAGCAGGTCAGTTTAAGGGTAAAAGTTTAGATGAAATAAACGTTGACCTAGAAGAAGACTTACTTACAACCAAAAATGGCTGTGAAGAAAATGACTATGAAGATCGAATTGCAACCAAAAATGAAATCGATCATGATTTAAAAATTTTAAATGCAGAAATACATACATCGAAAGATTCTGAAGGACCTTGCAGCATTAAGGCTGACAAAAAAATATCCAAGAATAAAAAGAGGATTTTAATTCCTTGGACTGAGGATCAAAAAAAGGTTGTAAAAAGTTTTTTCAAACAACACATTTTAGAAAAGAATCCTCCAAAACGTAAAAAATGTGAGGAAATTAAAAATACGTATAAAGATTTGCTTCAAAATAAAGATTGGCAAAAAATAAAAGTCTTTATCCAGAATATATACTCGAAATAATAACTTTATTTTTAAACCATATCTGTATGTATTTTTTATTTACAATTATTAGAAGTTTTTTTTCTATGGCTAAAATGTAACCTACCTTGTTATTTTTGGTATTGTTAAGCTTGGATTATAACGTTCTTATGTACTTATATGTTGTATTCTAGTTATTGTTGTTGTTTTTTTCCTAAAAAAAATGTTTTATTATATAATAATTTATATAGTATTAGGTATTTGTACTCAACTTGTAAATTTTGAAAAAATTGTTTTTGCTTGAATATAAATTTTAGCTGATCTGATTTATTTAAGAAACCTAAAAGTATAAAAGATTTACTTAAAAAATGTATCTTACTTTATTTGTTTGACTTACCTTAATTTACCTGTTTAACTTACCTTAACTTACCTTTTATTTGCTTGGATGTTTTTATTTATATGTAGTATAAAAATAAATATAAATAAATATTTTGTATAGTATTTGTTTAACCTTAATTACCTTAAGATTTTAATTGCAGCTGTGTTGTGTAATAAATAAAAAAATATTTAAAATTAATTTTTATTACTTATTATTATCTAAAAACCGCCTACCATTCCGAACTTAATTTTTTATATGGCAAAATTAATATGGCAAAATGTGTATCAATAAAATGGTCCTAATAATAATAGTTTAAATATTACATTAATCATCCACTTTTAAATTTTTACAATGAAAAAATAGTATGGCAAGATGAGTATTAACAAAGGGTCCTAATAATTCTGCCGTGCTTAATGAAAACGCCGTAACCAACAATTTTGCGATTTTTGTTTTACGGCATTTTCTACTAGAACAATTCATCCTGCGTCTATCCCCGGTACGCAAAAAACCGTATATATTATATTAACTTTAACAACATTAAATATATAAAATTCCTTTCTTACATCTAACTAACCTGAACACTGACCATTGTTCAACTTTTACGAAAGGAAGGCAATCTATAAATCAGCCTCAAGAAGTTTCACTTCAAAAATCTTAATACTAAGATTTTTGATAGATAGTACCTAGATCTTAATAATTATTAAAGTTTTAAGTTTAAAAATTATATTAACCACCCGACAAAGTGTTAATAATAATATATAATTATTATGACTGCCAGATATTATTTTAAAAAGTGTTGGTAACTATAAATATTATGCTATGTTTTATTTACAATACTAAAATTTAATAAGTTGGGGGTGGGGTAATTGTGGTTTAAATAACTGTATTGTTATATAAAATTACCTATAATTATAATAATTCTATATAAATAGTACCTATACAGTTATTTAAACCACTATTTTTCCCACCCCCACGTTATTAAATGTTAGTAGGTACCTATTGCAAAATTAACAAAGCGTAATATCTATAGATAGGTACCTAGACTTACAGTCCGTAGAATACTAGAATACTCCTAATAAAGCAAAAAGTATATGTACATACGTCTCATATAATAAATATGGGCAAATAAATAAATATGTTTTTTTCCAAAGTAAAATGGTGTTCTGAAAAACAGTTTTTTAACATTAGTATACCTATAGGTAGGTATTGAATATAATATTTTTAATTTAATTGAATTTATATACCTACCGCAAATTTTCTTATGCTAGATCGAGACAAATTAAAAATAAGTAAAAACCATTTATTTGTTTTCTAACAATAAAATTAAGTTTTTTAATCTCACCATTCGTTTAATACCTATTCAAAAAATGTTAAGAAAGTCTAAATAATATAGGGTATTTATAATATTTCAAGTTTTATAAAAATATAATAGTTTTTTATATTATGAAATATGGCAACATTGCCGGAGTTCATATATATTGTGAAATGTACAAAATCGTATATTTCGTGGGGCTCATATGTCTGCATTATAAAAGGAGGTCACAAAGCGGTATATTAAAAAAAAAATAACTAAAATTTTAAACGAGTGGAGGCACAAGGAGAATGGGTTAGCTAATATACTTTAATCAAAAATGAATATATATGCTTCCTTAAGGGGGAAGCCATAAGTGACGTCCATGAAAGGACGAAAGTGTAGTGGGATGTATATATATATATATATATATATATATATATATATATATGTAGTATCACTTGGCATCCGATACACTTTTGATCCCATCCTTCAATATACGCGTGAATATTGTTTTGTTATATTTGTGGTGATCTTGGCATCCTATAAAGATTTCGGATTAGATGGCATCCCTAAAAATATATATAATTCCTTGTTGTGAGTGGCATCCAGTTACTTAAATTATAGGTTTGGTTGGCCTCCAATAGAATTTCAGTATTTACTTAACATTCGTTTTTATTAAAACGGCTTTTTACCCTAAAATATATAACTTTTAGGTTTTTAAGCCATCATCGGATCGCTTCACAGAAAGGGGTGGAAAATAGGGAATATTTTTTTTTAATTCTTAATTTTACTTACAATTTTTTTTATAATTTGTACAATGCATGCATAAAAAATATAAAACCAAAATTTTTAATAGGGTTAAAACGGGGTTAATGTAAAAATACATATTTATTTCTTTTTTGGCGTTTTTGTTATCGTGAATTTTTGAGATAATATTTTTATGTAAAAAGGAGAACTGATTCCCTTGATAACATCTCCTTTTTTGGACTTTTGGCTGGATTTAAGCTTTCTTAATTTATAAATCTGTTGGTGGGTCGAAAAAGGGCCCAAGTGCATTTTTGACAAAAAATTATGTGACCTATATTACTAATCTTAACCTTATCTTTCGTAAGGAAAAAGTTTTATCCTAATATCTTAAAAAATATTTAAAATATAAATTATTTAAAAAAATTATTTACATTTAAATCCATTGGTTACATGACGTTTAAAGTGAAATTACTCAGAACTGTCTTTTTGCACTTAGGCCCTTTTTCGACCAAGCCATAGATTTACCATCATATTCTGCGCTTGGGATTGAGAATGTCTTGTAGGAGATTGGATTTTATTAAATTTGCACCTTTTTACGTGGCGTCTCAGAGTTTTTTTTGCATAATATCCTAAAAAAAATAAATAATTCTTATAGCCAATTGACAATTTGATATTATCAAATTTATCAAATAATGTTGAATATCATGTAAAATTAAGTTGGAATTACAATTTCTGTAAATAAGAACAATAAAGTTAAATACCTTAATTACACTGTGGTAGTTTTGAGAACTTTTTTTTTAACCGTCGTGAAAATGGTCATTCTTACCTAATTCGAGGCCAAGGAATTCAGTGGTGACAACCGTTTTGCTAGGTTGGCTCGTAATTTCATACAAAATGCTTGTAAAGTTTTTTTCTAAACTCATAATTGGAAGTAACGTGTTTTTACTCGATCGCTATTAAAACCTGTATTTGTGGGTTTTTTGGTACAAGAAAACCGAATCTGGCATTTATTTTGCGATACGATAAAATTTGGATACGCTTTCTATACAAAAATTTGAAAAAAATACTTAAAAATGTGAATTCTTACCATTTTTAAAGTAAATATTGCGTGTTTACTAAAAATCACTTAAATTAGTAGTAGCCATCTTAAAATATACAACCATGTTAGCATTTGATCGATCCATTACTTTTTATTGTTTTTTTTTTAAATATCTACTAAATTAGCTTTGATTTATATTTTAATTACTCAATATTCTTTAAAACAACAAATCTCATTTATTTACAATTAGTTTTTCCTAATTTAACCTTTATTGTGATTTGTGGTTCAAATATAAAATGATATATGTATCTTTTAAAGTGCAATAGATGGCGCAAGAATAAACAATCACATTGCTGTGTTTTTCACAAGCGGATTGTATTTACGTGTTTTATGTTGTTTCTTTTTTAATGTATGTTTAAAAAAATTTATTTATTTGTAAATTGCTTTATTAAAATTTTATTATATACATAATTCGTGCATTTAAATTCAGTGTATTATCGAAATTTTCATAATATACATGAGCGATTGTTATCAAAAAATTAATTTTTTTTGTTACATTTGTGGCAAATTTACTGTTAAGCCGAGTCGAAAAAAAATGAGCGAAAGGTGAAGTCGAAAGTATGCCGTTTGGAATTCCAATGGTGTGGACCGATCCTGGAAACCATGAAGTTGATCAGTGCTATGTGTGTGTGAATAAGGTAAACGGACTAAACAGATTTAAAGCACGCAATTTCAGAAATAAAAGTGTTCCATCAGCACAAACGCCTTTACTACATTCCGAAAACGTTCCGATCCCAAAGTTACCAAGTCCGGGAGAAAATTATGTGCCACCATCATTTGATTTTGCATCAGAATCACATTCATTGTATCAGCCATCTAACATTACATTACCTTGCAAACATATTGAATGTACACAAAATCGCTTGGATATGATGGCACGCCAACTAAAATTATCACAAAAACGTCAGGTTGTGTTGGCACAGCATCTCAAGTCACTAAATATTTTAGCCCCAGATGTAAAGATCTATGGCGCTCTCGGACGACAACGAGAATTTATGAAGTATTTTAATCGGAATGATGAAAATACATTTGCACATTGGAATAATATTAGTGGTTTGATGGCAGCAAATGGCAACGAATATAATGCAGCAGATTGGCGACTTTTTATAGATGCATCAAAGAGCAGCTTAAAATCGGTACTTCTTTATATTGACAATACAAAGAGCCCAATTCCAGTTTCAATACATACAGAAACAGATGAAAACAAAGAATCCATGCAAAAAATAATTGATGCTATAAAATACCATGAGAATTTATGGAAAGTATGCGCTGATTTAAAAGTGGTTGCATTGTTGCGTGGACTGCCACATAAAGGTTATCCAAAAAACATGTGTTTTTTATGTCAATGGGACACAAGATATGCGAACCAATATCAAAAGCGCGACTGGCCAGCCCGCGAAACCATTAGAATTGGACATCAAAATGTGATCTATGAACCAATGGTTCCGATGGAAACAATTTTGCTACCACCGCTGCACATCAAATTGGGCCTCGTCAAGAATTGCAACAAATTTTTCGTCGATTGAGCAAAGTGAAAATTAAAGAAGGTAAGAATTTTTGTTTAAAATTCTGATTTTGTTTTGTATTTTATATGTAAAAATGTTTATTAAACATTTTTTTTCTTTAAGGTATGTTAAACGGGCCAGATATTCGGCGATTAATGAGGGATGATTTTGAATGATTTTGATTGAATGAATTTGAACAATGTCTAATGGAAGAAGAAAGTATTGCTTCGGATAACTTAAAAGCTGTTATAGTAGGAGTACTCGGTGTTCACCGTGCAGAAAATTGGCGCATCTTGACCGAAAACATGCTTCAATAATTGGCGTCAACATGTCTCTAAAAATACATTTTCTCCACCATCACCAAGACAAATATGAAATGCAAGCCCCTTCTGAGTCTGATGAGCATGGCGAACGCTTTCATCAGGTGAGCGCCCAACTTGAACACTGGTATAGTGGTAAGAAACTTAATTCATTGCTCGCTGACCTGTGTTGGAACAAATGAAACTAGATGATGAAGTTGACGACTAGAATTTCAACCGAATATTTTTTATAAAAAATCTCAAAATATGTTAGTAGTATTCAATAAAGACATTAAACTGATTGTAAATAAATGAAATTTGTTGTGTTTAAAAATATTGAGTTGGGCTAGTTTATTTAATATTTTGAAAAAAAAACACTGAAAAAGTAAACCTATTTTTGAGGAGAAAGTCATACTTTTTTCAATAAATCGATCAAATGGTAACAGGGTTGTATATTTTAATATATCTACTACTTAAGTGATTTTTCATAAGAACATTTAATATCCAACTAAAAAGTGGTAAAAATTCACATTTTTGGCTTTTCTTTTAAATAGTATGTAAAGTGTATCCAATTTTTATCGTATCACAAAATAAATGCTATATTCCGTTTCTTCCTACCAACAAACCCCTAAATACGGATTTTCATAGCGATCGAGTGAAAAACACATTACTTCCAATTATGAGTTCAGAAAAAGACTTTAACAGAATTTTGTATGAAATTACGAGCCAACCTAGCAAAACGGTTGTTACCACTGAATTCCTTGACCTCAAATTAGGTAAGAATAACTAATTTCACGACGGTTAGATTTTTAAACTACCACAGTGTTATATAAATAATATTATTATGTAAAATAAATACTCACCTTTACAAAAAATACAAGGCAATAAATTGGTTTCTGTTGGAGTGTCACTACAAACTTTAAGAACAGGTATCTTTTCTCCTGTAGAAAAATCTCCTTCTTTCCTTATTTTATCAATAAGACATTTTCGCTCTGGATCATTTTTGGTCAAACTTAAAAATCTTTGTACTTCTAATTCATCACTATGGCATCTTTCTAAGTGTCGAGCAAAATTGGTCACCAAAACATCGCAAAATATACAGCTGTGTTTTCTTCGAACTCGTTTGCTTTTATTAGTTTGAGATATATTATCTTTTTTATTTTTTTCGTCAATGAAGGCAGTATCTTAAAAAATGAATAGTTTTATAATTCATTTAGAAAAAATAACATTAAAAACCTTTGCACGAGATAGTTTCCCTATTAGTTTCAGTGTTTTCGAAATCATTAAAAAAGGGTGTATTTTCGATACTGTCCATTACTATGTATCTCAATTCAGTTACCCCATCATAGCTACTAGTACCTATGAAGATATAACGTTAAATTATAAATAAAATAAAGCAATTAAAAATATACCCTCATATGAAATATTTTCTTTAGTAGTGGTTTTATTTACTTCCGTTATTTCATCGAACCTCTTGGTATCTATAAAAATATATTAGGTAATATAATAAAACTATTAAAAAATAGGTACTTTCATATAGAAAATTATCTTTAATATTCACAGGTGACAGAAATAAAAATAGTTTTTTTCTATTCCAGCCATCTGTGTATTACTATTTTTTAATGGGTTAAGTTTAATATTAAGTAAAATAATAAAACTATTTAAAAAACGGTTTTATGTAAAAACGGTTAATTTCTAAAAATTGAGCTAAAACTTATGTGATTCGGCACTAACACAGTTTAAAAAGAATTTTAGAGAAATATCTTTAAGCTTGAGTAAAAACGTATATTTTTCAACCATATATGTAATATTGACATTGTTGTCTTTTTAAAATCGAGAATGTGTCACTTAAAGTGAATCACTTTACCGGTCTAGACGTGCAAAACTGTCACTTTTCTCGTCTAGATGAGAAAAGTGATAGTCATTTTATTCCTTTAATTTTTAAGGCAAAAATTTATTTAAAAGAAAACATCAAATTATATTCAAATAATAATAGAAAAAGAAAAAAATGCTTTCTTTCATTTTTTTATTTCATTTGAGGTTTCATTTCAAATGTCACCCTTGCTATGTAGATTACATGTGGGATGTCATGTGCTATCGGTGCACCGATTGTCATTAATTATTTTTATTTTATTTTTTTTTTTGTGAAAAAAAAACAAAAATTCTGGTTGAAAAAAATTAAGTTTTAAAAACTAAAAAAAAAAACATTTTTTTGACCAGCCATAGTTTTTTTAAATTAAATTTGGCTTACAGTAAAGGATTTTATCTGCAACCTGTAGATACATGTTATTTACACAATAATGAGTAAATTTTTAACAGTTATATTTAATTATAAATTATAATAAGAATATTTAAAAATAAATACCTACAAATGAAAAACTTATTTTTGGGACGATTTAGTTTTTTAGTATGCTGTTTTGTACTATTTACTTTATTTCCTATACAAAGTTTCTGATAGACTTTGTTTTTTTTTTATTTTTCCTTGGGTGATTTTCTTAAGTTAAGTTAAGACTTTTTACTATAATGTTGGCAATTTATTAGGATATAATAGTTTTTGTTTGATGCCGTTGGTTTTTGTCAGATGTCAAAATAACAGAAAAATATTCATTAAAAGTAGTTATGCCTTTTCCTCACCAACACCCTATATTTTTAATGTATTTTTTCCAATAATTATTAACAAAAATGACATTTATTTATATACAAATTTATCAATATTAAAACTTTTATTAATTAATTATAATGACAATTAAAATAATTATTAATAACAAATTATTACAATTACAATTATTATTCCTACTTTTCTATTAAAAAGTTTTCGTAACTACCTATAGGTATATTTGTATTGATTGAAAAATAAGAAAACGACAATTTCAGTCGTGCAATTTGTTTTTTATAGCTACGGATTTAAAAAAAAGATTAAAAACTACATTAAACCTATTTTTTACCTACCTGCTGTATTAACATTCTTCAAAATCCTCAATGTTCGAGGTTTAAAAGAATATTTGCTAACAAAACTGTTCTTCTGCATCTTAAAACTGTATAAAAACACAAATTAAAACTAACCTAAAAACGCATTCGCGGTAAATCACAGATGCGATAAATTGGCGCGTCAGGATGAAGCCTAGTACGAAAAGCCCAAGTAAAATATTCATATATATATATATACGGAACCTTTACAATATATACATATATATATATATATATATATAGATATATACAGCGCCCCAAGTGAACTCCGCAATGTAAAAATCGCGGTAAAGGTGGCATCCAGGGCAAATTGACATCCGTATATCGGATGCCACTTTGCCATTCGTCCAAAAATTCTGTCAGTCACCTCATCTGATCCCTCTCTATTGAGCCAACCGATTTTTAGAAGGACGTTAAAGTGACGATATTTGGTGCATTTCTATATAATATAGTTCATGAGTATATTCTGTAGGTGGTGCTGCCGGAAGATTTAATTATACATTTTTTATTCATACAACGACTAAGTTGGCTTCCAGTGGAACTGGCAACTGTGTATTGCTAAGAATATACATTTTTGTACTTTTTAGCGACTACAATGGCCTCCGTTTAAAAAATAAACAATTTCATATCTTACAACAACTAAAGTGTCGAATTTAATGGACAGGCAGCCTATTAACTCAATACTGTTAAGCTACCTAGAGCGGTAAATTTTTAGGGGCGGCAAATTTTGACCGTTTAAACTATAGATATAACGCAACTTAGGTGATTAAAAAATGATGTTTTATTATAATATATGTGGTTATGGAAACATATCTTCTTTCAATCTAAAACCATTACTTAACACTTTGGGATTTGTGATTATCTTATCAGATTTTTTGAAGAATGCGCTGTTTGACTGTAAACCATCGAATAATTAGGTATGTAACAAAATGAAGGATTTTTTTATATTAAAACAATTGTTATAAGACTAAAAATATTTATAATTTTTTAAACTTATTACATACATAAACTTTAACAACTGGCCAAGTTTTGTGCTGGAAAACGCTGGGATGGTTTTCAATTAAATTTAGCACTTCATGTTTTTTTGGAGCCTTACGTTTCATTATGTGATCCTTAAAAAAATCTTTTGTCAATTTTCTTTGTTCTTCAGTCCAACGTACCAATGTTCTTTTAGAACCTTTTTTTATATTTTTTGTAGCAGAAATATTGCTTGCATTCACATCCACGGCGTTCTCAGTTTCTCGAGGTTGATCTTCAAATGTTTCAATATATTCTTCCTGATCCTCATCCTCATTTTCTTCAATTATTTCGCTGTCAATCTCTATTTCTTCCAGTCTTTTGCCCTTGTATCTTTCAAAATCTCCTGTTTTTGAAAGCAAAAGTATTTTGCTGACTTTTGCGGTCTGGTATACATCGTCTGGTAAGCGATAAAACTCGGAGTGGGTTTTCTCAGTGTGACCCATAAATGTCGCCAATTGTTCTAATTCATTTTTCCATTTTAAAGATTTGTGTTATGGTTGCCAAATGCTTGCGCAGTTTGGTTGATGTTAAAAGGGAAGCTTTTTCTTTATTGCCTAATGCAGCTAGAGCATGTTTCCGTATAACACCATAGCCGTGAATAGGATTTGATCTGCCAGGCACCCCAAAAAGATATGGATTTTCGGAAAGATTAAAATGTTTTCGTACATCTACCAAAAAGTTTATGTACTTAACGGTTTCTTTATCAAAAAGGACTGGTACGCCTCTCCCCCGCTT